GAGCGGTTCCTCGCATCTTCCTTGGTTATGGAGAAAATAAGTTTGGCTACAAACTATGGAATCTAGAAAAGAGAAAAATTATCAGACGAGCAGATGTTATTTTTTTAGAGGATCAGACTATTACAGATCTTGAGAGAGTAGAGCAGTCAGAGAGTGTTGCTAGTGAGATTCCAGATATGACACTCGTTTTGTCTCCAATATAGTTACATCCTATAGATATAGAGCAGGTGCATGATGATGATGATGACGTTGATGATAACAGTCAGATACTAGAGCAGGGAGACGGTGATCATGATCATGAGCAGGAGACTCCTCAGGAGTTTGCAGAGTCACAACTTAGGAAATTAGCTAGAGAGCATCGACCATCCACAAGATATCCTCTTTCAGAGTATTCTTTGCTGATAGAAAAGGGGGAGCCAGAAAGTTTTTAGGAGGCACATACTCATAAAGACAATGACATATGGTTCCAGGCTATGAAGGAAGAGATGAAATCTCTTGAAAAGAATGATACTTATGAGTTGGTGGATTTATCGAAGGACAGAAAAGCTTTGAAGAACAAGTTGGTGTTTAAGTTAAAGAAGGATGGCTATCAAAGAGATTCAGAAATATAAAGCCATATTAGTGGAGAAAGGCTTTGGTCAGAAAAAGGGCATTGATTTTGATGAGATTTTTTTACCGATTGTGAAGATGATGCCCATTAGAGTTATTTTGGGGCTAGCAGCTAGTTTAAACCTCGAGATTGAGTAGCTTGATGTGAAGACTACATTTCTTCATGGTTATTTGGAGAAGAAGATCTACATGGAGCAGCCAAAGGGTTTTGAAGTGAAGGGAAAAGAACACATGGTTTGCAGGTTGAAGAAGAGCCTTTATGGTTTCAAGCAGGCACCCAGGCAGTGGTACAAGAAATTTGATTCTTTCATGTTGAGTCATGGCTACCAGAGGATAGTTGTAGATTTGTGTGTATATTTCAGGAGAATTTTAGATTCTAGCTTCATTATGCTTTTGTTTTATATGGACGATATGTTGATTGTTGGTCAGGATAGTCAGATAATCGGTGGGCTGAAAAAGGAGTTATTTAAATCTTTTGACATGAAGAATTTGGGCTTGACACAACGAATTATTGGTATGGATATTGCTCGTGATAGGAAAGCCAGAAAGTTGTGGTTATCACAAGAGAAATATGTAAACGACTACTTGATAGATTCAACATAAAAAATGTCAAGTCAGTCAATACTCCTCTTGTAGGTCATTTAAAGCTTAGCAAAAAAATTTCCCGACTACAGATGAGGAAAAGAGTGAGATGATGAATATTCCTTACTCTTCAGCTGTAGAGAGTTTGATGTATGCCATGGTTTGCACTCGGCTAAATATAGCTTATGCAGTTGGCGTTGTGAGCAGGTTTCTTTCCAATCCAAGGAAAGTTCATTAGGAAGGTATAAAATGGATCTTAACATATTTGAAAGGCAGTTCCAGATTGTGTTTAAGTTTTGGAGGTTCGAAGTCAGTATTATATGGTTTTGAAGATGCGGATATGGCAGGGGGGGTCGATCGTAGGAAGTCTACCTCAGGTAGGTTGTTCACTTTTGTAGGGGGAGCAATATCTTGGCAGGTAAGGTTGTAAAAGTGTGTCGCTTTAATCTATAACAGAGGCAAAATATATTGCAGCTACAGAAGCCGGTAAGGATATGATTTGGTTGAGAAGATTTCTGCAGGAGTTAGGCTTGCAACAGGACAATTATCAAATCTTCATTGATAGTCAAAGTGCTCTTGATTTGAGTAAGAATTTTGTATTCTACTCCAGCATAAAACACATTGATATGAGATATCATTAGATTAGAGAAGCAGTTGAGAAAGAGGAGATGAATCTACAAAAGATTCACACAGATAAAAATCCAGCAGATTTTTTAACGAAGACCGTTTCCAGAGAGAAGACTGAGTTGTGTCGGTTATTGGCCGGCATAAACTCCCGTTGAGGAGTTACATATTGGCATACCTCCTCGTTGGGCTGGATGGGGAGATTGTTATGGGTCCAGCCCAAGATAAGGCCCACACGAGATTCACATGAATTAAAATTCTATCTAGAAGAGGATTTGGATGATGAAATAGGTTTGGAGAATTCTATATATGAGAAACTTGTATTTTTTTGGTGTTATAGTGTCGGCTACAATACCGTAAACAGTGCCTAGAGAAAAAAAGGGAGAGAGAAAAGTTCAGATACCGTATAGCTCGGTTGTCCGATTGCACTCAGTTGTCCGATTGCAGTGATTCAAAAACCATTGTCTTCAGAACGACGATGCCGTCAAGGGTACGGTGCTGGTCTCTTCGTGGATGTTGGAGATTTTTGGTGAGACGATTTTTATGGTTTTGGTGCCCTAAAGGTAAACTGTATTTTTCTCTTGTGATCGATTTAATCCTCAAGTTCAGGTGTAACTTGGAGGGATTGTACTCTTGATTCATAGTGAAATATTTCTCTCTGGATTGCTCCGTGAACGTAGACTGTTTGCTTGCTTATGGTATTTTCATTGGTGCTGTTATTTTTTTTAGTGTTTAATTCAGCAGATTAATCTCCATAAAATCCCTAACAAATATCACACATCATGTGATATATCGTTTATTATATAACACAAAGGATAGCTTAAATTTGGAGAATGCTGAAGCACACATTGATAATAAAACAGTAATTAGCTTACATTTGGAGAATTAATGCTGAAGCACGCATTGATAATTAAAACAGTAATTAATTAATCAACATCCCCCACCTTCCCGATCCTAAGAAAAACAGGGAACCTAACGACCTTAAAACCACCCCCACCACCCCCCCACCCCCTCTCGAAAACAGTAATTAGCTTACATTTGGAGAATTAATGCTGAAGCACGCATTGATAATTAAAACAGTAATTAATTAATCAACATCCCCCACCTTCCCGATCCTAAGAAAAACAGGGAACCTAACGACCTTAAAACCACCCCCACCACCCCCCCACCCCCTCTCGACCCCCCATCCCCCACTGCCTCGAAAGGAAACTCTACCGTCCTGTACTCTTCATTCACGAACTCTCTCTCCTCAGCCCAGAACGGAGCTGACTCCTCGTACAGTTTCCGGAAGACGGAGTCGACGGGTTCGCTGACGCGGGGCACGGTGTAGCACCAGGCGGCTGCCTCGAAAGGAAACTCTACCGTCCTGTACTCTTCATTCACGAACTCTCTCTCCTCAGCCCAGAACGGAGCTGACTCCTCGTACAGTTTCCGGAAGACGGAGTCGACGGGTTCGCTGACGCGGGGCACGGTGTAGCACCAGGCGG